GTAAACATGATTGACACTAGTAAACCATTAATGGAACAATTTCCAGTGTCTTGTGGTACAAAACATCATGAAAAAGAGACAGAAGACTCTTCACTTGTCACTACCATTCCTAATATTAATGGCTCAGCAGCCGTTCAGCCTCCACAGACTGTATTCCAACAACCACAGATACAAGAGGTATACTTCAGTTTCTAGACAATGTACCAGGACAAAAAATGAGAACCAATCAATCCGTGCGCAGTTTTGAGTTTTGAACATTTTATGATGTCAAGAGTGTGTCAACAAGAGGAAATACAGTGAAAAACTGTATCAAATTTGTTTTTACCACATTATAAGTCTAAAATTGGTAAAAATCATTGTTTTCTTTCAATTGAGCACGCATGTGAGACATGATAATGTCAGCACAGTGTGCATGTCCTCTTATTGACACACTCTAATCAGCCAATCAGCACGCAAGAATTTACACAATTGTGGTAAAACTACACATACTTGTCCAATACTCTGACAAATTTAGAGCGGATTTTGTATGAGTGGGAAACGGACGGTACTGTACTGTGTCCGTAATCGTACTGTAACCAAATTCTAGTGCCCCATTGTTTCACCAAAATTCTGCAGGCCAGGTGCAGTAACTGTGCGGTAACCGTGCGGTAACGGTGTCCCGCTCATACGAAATCCGCTCTATGCATGCCATTGTATTATATTCTATTGTATTGCGTCGTTCTTAAAAGAGTTGTATTGTTAATCTATTGTTATGTGGATGTAACACAATACAATACTATGCATAAATTTGTCAGAGTATTGGACAACACTCAAACTACATGTACATGTATTGTTTGCAATTGTCCACTTCGCGGATAACACAGCTATTAGAAATTGAGAAAATATCGAAAAACTATTACMACCACTGGAAAGAACAGTATGAAATTAGTATGTTTACCAGGTTTGAGCATGATTCGATGGAAAGTCAAGGAGATACAGCGTTTAAAAGTCGGCAAAATTTACAAAGAAATGTATGGCTGTCGGCATGAGATCGAGGTTGACCTTGACTTGTTACAACCTCGCCAAACATTTCTATGCAAAATTTAGTGTTTTTGAAGTGCCGTATCTCTTTGAATTTAAATCAGATTATTTTCATACTTGGCAAATTTGCTGATTTTATGACGCTCTTTCCAGTGATGTCAATGATTTACCATAACGACGTAATGTAAAATTTCGAATTATCCGCGAAGTGGACTATTGTTTTAGTTGATATGTAGAAATCTTTTGCCTTTCT